CCACTGAATAGGAGGAATGAGTGTAGGAAGATAAGCGGAAACTACTTGTGCCTGTTGAATAAGTTTAGAGAGGGGGGACGGGGAGTACCATCGAGTCAGAGGATGAGCCTTGACCCTCACATCGGACTCACCTCAAGAGCAATGCTTTCACACAACACGTGCGCAATGGGACGCAATCACATGCGGTAATCTTTCAGGATCAGAGTCATAAGTGTTCTTGCGGATGATGCAGCTGTTAGGTTTCAATTGAATCCGTTTCACGCCTCATCTGCAGCCAATTTACATGTCATTTGCAGCCACTTAGCTAAACTTATGAGCAAATATAGAGGCAAAGCATAGGACATCTAACAAAACATGAGATGCCTAAGTGGACCAAATTAGATTATAAGAAGAAAGCAGGTTTAAAGCCGACCAGCTTTCTTGCCTTAGTGTTTTTAGTAAATTATCGTTAAATATGGTGTCCTGTTCTGATGTTGTATGTCATATGACGGACGAAAGCTCAGTAAGGAATTATCGAGGTCACAGCGCGGTGCGCAGAGGACCTAATCGTATAAATCTACAAATGTTAGTCACGAAAACAATACTTAATTCGAAAAATAAATCTACAACCACAACTCCAAGGCAACTCCCCCACAGCCTCCGGTGGAACCAACTTACGAATCCTTTTCACTCGCCTTTTCAAAATAAATGAAGGATACTCCAAAATCAATCTATTAATGGATTCTTCGAAACCCAGTTTTCCTTCAATAATACATATAATTAAATCATAGATTTGCCTATATATTTTCTTTCATCTTGCAGGTCCGTGTTAGTGAGTGCTGTAATTTCGAAATAAGTTGCTAATATACGTAAGAGGGATATTCGCCTTACATATATGTAAACCGAGCTTATTCTCATTGGATGTTTCATACAATTGGCAATACATAGAACGCGAAATAGAATATAGAGTGGTTTGTAGTCAGTAATATAAGTAGACAATTCAATAGGCTTAAGATATAAGCTATCTAAAAGACAGGATTGTAAGAGATCGGTAAATTAGAGGAGCTATGAGAACTGACAATGAATTATTCTTTTGTCAACTTGAAGCTAGGAAGCGTTCGTTCCTAGCATTTTCAAGTTCAATGAAAAATCATCTAGCAGCTCCTAAAAAACCATCTTGGCCTCCAAAAATATTTCATACAAGTAGCCAATTCTAAAAGTTAAAAATGCACAATGAAGGCAAGTAAATAAAAAGTGCTTGCGAAATAATTACCAGAGGATGAGGAAATAGGTGAAGCCGGAGTATCAGGATATCCGCCATGACGGTAGAGTACACCTAAGTTGAAGTTCGCTTCACTTCCTGTATTGCACTGCGAAGTAGACGAGGAATCTATGTTTGGGAGTGACTGAGGTGAGTCAAGGGCATTGAGCTTCTGTTTTGATGAGCCACGAAAAGGGCTCGCGAAAGGAGAAGTGGCTATCGGCATTGAGTCTGCTGAGTAGACGCTGATTGCATCGCCTTCCCCAACATTTGTGACTGAATTCGCAGCTACCTGTCTTTGAGCTGTCGAGCGACAAGCCCTATCCAATGCTAATTCGCGGCGCCACCGAAGGCGACGTTGTTTACCTGCCTCATCTATCATGGTCTGTGTGGCGCCACTAAGCACAAAAAGACGAACATTACTAGAGCCACAGTCAATTGTGACGGTATTGCTAGGACTATTAGTTGAGCAGGAAAGACTTGACTGTTTTTGCAGCTGTTCTTTCTGTTGCTGTTCAGGATAATTAATATCGTAATTACTCTTGAAAAGAGATGAGCCTGAACCCGATAGCGGCGAAAGCACAGGCAAAGAGATGCTGTAGTAAAAGTCAGGAGGTGGGCAGCCAGAACCAGAATATGAACAGACTACCTTTGTCCAGAACCAGCAGGCGGTAGTCCAGGCTTTTGGAGAAGAGGAATGTAAATATAGTGTGCTTTAAATATAGGGACAAATCTTAAGCGAAAAACACCTTAATTTAAATTCACTGGCCTCTCGAATTAATATTATGATGTTTCTTGTATCAATTTCCTCATTTCTCACTCCCAAAAGAAGACGGTTGAGAAATTACATAGTATAAATTTAGATCGATTATAATATTAGAATAATCTGACCCAAAGCATTTGGTCAAAATCTAAAGTAAATATGCCTATGTTATCTGAAGATCACATAAAAATAATAATCAGCTATTAAATAATTAGACTGACAATGTGCCTATAGGTGCAAACAATAGAAAAGGTTTTTTGCTTGACATAAAATATGTTTTATTTATTCCATTTAAGATGAGACAAGGGTAAATCGATACGATCATTTATAATCTACTCCGAATTTTCAAGACCATCATTCGATGAAATTTATCACAAATATAAAGGTATTCTCACATTTTCCGGTCTCCTGGGGAATCCTTGTTAATATCCAGATATCACAAGCAGGCGTACCATTAATTATAGGAAGTGAATTTTCTGAAGGTCTGCCTTCACCGTTTGGCTCTGCGATTGCCGCGTTACGATGTTCATCAAACCGTCGGCCTTGGTGATGAGGATGAAGGTCGGTTGCGACAGAGGACAAAAGAGACTGAGGGGGCTCGGTATTTCCACCAACGATGACAATTTGGTTCTCATTAAGGGGGCAAGCAGAATGGCCGTAGCGCCCCAATGGACGAACGGAAAGGCAGCTCTCAGAATCAGGATATTGCGATGTTCTGGACTGGCAATTACTTTGATCGGTATTATTCCAGACCGCACTTCGTCCCAATAATAAATTTTCATCACTTTCAGAAGGTGCTGGTAATTTTATGCCATTTTCATCTTCATTCTCGCCTTCGATTTTTGCAAAGCACCACTGGCCAAGTGTAGGAGCAACGATGACAACCTTGTTAATGCATACGCGCCTTCGTTTACAGTATCCACCAAAAAGAACAAGTAGATCAGGGGAAGTAGAAGATGGAGGCAAAAAGCAACCTGATTGCCCTCCAAAATCCGGAGGGGGACGAAGCACATTGCTAGGAACGTAGAATAATTTTAAATTTTTCCACTTTTGCGATTCAAGCGAATATGAATTGAGATCAGTCAACCAATTCACATAGCACTAGAAAATATAAAAATGATTACCAAAATACAAATCAAACAAGCAGAGCTAAGAATGGTGAATATTACCTCCATCTCGAAACTATGTCGAACCGTAAAGCAACCCCCGTAGAGGTAGAGAATATTATTGATAAATCTTCCCTTAGCATGAGCACGAGGAGACGGTAAATCCCCTATAAAAAATTGCTATGATAATAATCAAGAAAAAATATAATTAAAAGGCTAAAAAATTATGATGCTAAAAACCTAATGAACAGAGCTCAGAGGGCCAATTAACCCTATATACTTTGTA